ACTATAAATTTGTTAAATCAGCAAATGCCACAGGAACTAAATTGAAAACAACAAAACTTAAAAAGAAATTGCAATTTGACCCCTTAAACATATCAAATTTTCAACCTAATGTCCCACAATCCAAAAAATCAATCTGTAGGAAAATCCCAGCCAACAAATCCAAAAATCAAACTGTAATTCGGGAAAATCTCAGCAAACAAATCGATTCTCCTCCGGACGTCGGCGTTCTCAAAGTTCATCCTCTAAATCGCCGCATTCGCCGGAGATTATCTTGTTCTGGACGCCTTTTGTGGCGCGGCGGGAGTGGGTGAAGTACGGTTGCCACCAAGGATGGTAACAGATAACTCGATGGTCATCGGAGATATTTCAAGTGGGTAGACCTATCTGTGGCGCGGCGAACGACGATGGAAGTTTGAGGCGCGACTGGCGTCGGGGCTGGTGATGGTGGCGAGGCCGACGGCGGGTGACCTTGTCAGCGGAGCTCGCGGAACAAGGAGGATCTCGATGGGTTATGGACTGCTGCTGCTGCTGCGGCGGCGTCGACGGCGGCGGAAGGAAGATAGTGTTGAAGGTATGCGAGTTCACTGTGTGTGTGTGTGTGTGTGCGCGTGAGTTCTATAGAAAATCTGATATGTGTGTGTGTGAATTTATGTGTGAGAGAGAGATAAAAAGTAGGTATGGTAAATGTGGATTATTTAAAATGACCATATTGACCTTATTGAATACTAAATGACTAAATTACCCTTAATGAATTTCACTTTAATTACTACTTTTGATTTTATCATGACCATTAATATGCTAGATCTAATGGTTCATAATCATCTCATTTCTTTCACTATCTACTATTCTCATATGATCCCTTCTCTCTCTATATATATATATATATATATATCTTTTATATCTTACATGAACGAGTTAGGCCAATTCAAACGACGACACGTGTCCAATTTGAACTCTTAGAAAATTGACACGTGTCTGATTTTATTACAATTTTGCCATTGTTTTATCTGTATTTTACTATTTTTTTTTTTTTATTTATATATTTTGCAGTAGCCACACGCAACTCTACCGCCTTTCACCATGCTCAGTCAAAAAGCAATCCCCCACAAAAAGGCTTTCACGTACGCCTCTTTCGCCTTTTATCCTAACACGCAACACTCCCTCGTCTTCATTCTCTTTCCTTCTTTCTTCTTTTTCTCCCAATGATTTACCCCAGTTCTCCCTCCGTACGACAGGCTCTTGCAGCTCAGATCTACGGTGGCCCATCGATAGAGAGCAACGAGCAGCTCTGGGAATCCACGCGGCGGCGCTAACCCTCTGTTCATATCTCGCGGTTATTTTCAGAAATCGAGTTCCTCTCCTTTTCTCACACACAACACCCACAATTACACAGGCTCCTCGCACGAACGAGCGGAGGAATCGACGGAGTCTAGAGCCGTGGCGAAGGGACACCAGTTGAAGAGCTTGAAGGCGCACGATTCTATTGCGGAAGGAAATCAACTAAGCCACGCTGTGGGCAAGGAGCTCTGCCGTCAACTGCCGCATTTACCTGATTCAGGGTCGCCGCCGTCTTAATGGGTAATTGTTGCGTCATTATATTATTTTTTTCTTTGTATTTGCCTCTTTTCCTGTTGTGCGTACGACTGTGTGGGTGTATGTGTGTCATTGTGTGTGTCTGTGTGTGTATGTCTGTGTTTTAGGGGTGGGGCTACCTGGATTTTGTTTATCTTATAAAGCCCTGATTTGTGCTTTTTTCTACAATTGAGTTGTTTGGTTACATTTATTAAAAAATATGTCGATCTTTTTACTTTCTGTTAAATGTATTTTGTGGTTCGGTTTCTACAGTCCTAGGTGTAGGGTTTTTTACATTGAAATTTAAGGATAATGTGTTGATTTGTTTTTTTTTTTTGGATCTTAAATGGCGGAGGCGGGGCTTAGAGGAGGAAAGAGATTCATGAATCTTCCCTGATATAAAAAATGCCGATATATGCAGGCGGACATTGTAAGTATTTTCTGAAATTTGATGTGCCATCTTTCAAGATGAGTGACGTTATCTTAGAAGCCTG